TTTTGTATTTTTAGTAGAGATGGGGTTTCTGTATGTTGGTCAGGCTGGTCTCTAACTCCCGAACCTCAGGTGATCTGCCCACCTCAGCCTTCCAAAGTGCTGGGATTACAGGCATGAGCCCCTGGGCCCAGCCTAGATATTTGTATATTTGAAGACTGGACTGAATTTGTCTTCTAAAACATACTTTTTCTGATGATAAATGCATTTATAGTCTTTCCAAGATTCATTTTGTAAATATTTTTCTAATAGTAGGGGAAACAAGATTTTCATAGATGAATCCTTCTTTAAGAAGAGGGTCTTAGCCAGGCGCAGTGGCTCATGCCTGTAATCCCAGCATTTTGGGAGGCCGAGGCGGGCAGATCACTTGAGGTCGGGGTTCGAGACCAGCCTGACCAACATGGGGAAACCACGTCTCTACTAAAAATAAAAAATTAGCCAGGCGTGGTGGCACATGCCTGTAATCCCAGCTACTAGGGAGGCTGAGGCAGGAGAATCGCTTGAACCTGGGAGGCGGAGGTTGCGGTGATCATGCCATTGCACTCCACCTGGGCAACAAGAGCGAAACTCCATCTCAAAAAAAAAAAAGAGGGTCTTATATCAGAGATAATCACTACTGCATCTTACAGTTAAGTCAAAATGAGCCTTCAGCTCTGCACTGTAAAGCCAGAGGGCACTGTTGCTGCCTTTCCAAGCAGCTGTTTTTCTGGGGCTGCTGCATGACGTCATAGCAGAAGAAAAATTAAAAACACGAAGAAAACTATTTCAAAATAAATGTTTAATATAATTTTTAGGCCAAAGAAAAACACAATCATACATTGTCTCCAGTGGACCATATGTGCCAGAACAGGACCAACTCAGTCCAGCTTTGAAGGCCCTGATTTAGTCCTACTGGTGTAATCTCCCTTGATTTATTGATTTGTGTATGCTTCTTATGCATCACAAGGTGCATTTTACTTTTGAAGTCCCTATCACCTCAATCACCGCCATTTAACTGCAAAAGCATGCTTCCTAATGGGAGGGTTTTCTTCCCCCTTCCCTGCAGGGGTTCTGAACCTTCAAGGAGTTTGAGAATCTTATGAATCTCTTGAACCTTCTCCCCAGAAAAATGTACATATAACACAAGTCTACAAATAATTTCATGGGGTTCATGGACCCCAAGGCCCACAATGGTTTCTAAGGCCCCAAGTTAAGGAACCTCTGTGTTAGTGATTTGAGCAACGCAGTTGCCCTCAGGAAACACTGACACAGGGCAGGTGAAGGACTGGGTTAACCAAAGTGACAGGAGGGAATAATCTCATAATTTCTTTCTATTTTTATTTTGGGGCAAAAATTAGTTCTCAGGGCCTCCCTACATTTAAGAGCAGAACTACTCAAGAACCTAAGCAGCTATCAGCATAGTTTAGGCGATTTAGAATAGGGCTGTTCAAGGAAATGTACAGGGTTCCTCGTTCAGCTGAGGACCTCATTTAGCTCCTTAACTGGAAGCTTTACATTTGATCTGCAGTGAGGGGACATTTCTAATTTTAGTTTGACCCACATGGAAAGGTGGATAGCTCCTATTCCTTTTTTTTTTTTTTTTTTTGTATACAGAGCACGTAGTATTGGACAATTAGGGTAAGTCCTTGGAATCCCCCAAACAGCCATTTCCTTTATAAATCCAGTATTTCTCACCTCTGAATGTCTTAAAGAGCTGCCCCACAAATTAATCTAACCATTGCTTGCACTAAGAAGTTTGCTAAGAGCCTCTTCCAGGCATCCAGGAACTTCTTCCAGCCTTACTGGGGGGATGGAAGAGATCACTGAAAAACCAACTTGTAGGAATGAAATGCTGACAGTTGTCTAACGTAACAAACTGTCAAATTAGGTTTACATTTTTTGTTATTAGACTTTTGAATGGCCGAGGCAGACTTAAATTTAAAATTTTGGATTGTAGCCACTTTCCAGTCACCTAAACACTGAACACCGGTTTATTTTTCCAGCATCAAGAAAGAAAACCAAGGCACTAGAAAGCAAGCACACTTAAGTATTGAAGATAATTAAATCTTTATATTTTGCCTGAACTGTGTATTGTAGCATACTTAAACCCAAACCCATTCAAGGAAAAAATTGGCAAATTGAAAATTCTCCCATTAAAGACTGATATTTTTGCAAACTGACAAATTTAACGATTTCGGTACCCCTCCCCAAAAATGCAATCACATAAAATAATACTATTTTGAATTAGCTCTAGAAATCACACTGAAACTATGTTACATTTACAAATATTAAATTTATTATAACTAAAATGAATTTAATTGTTCTCAGATTTGGCCACCTTATAGCTCCGTTTAAGGAGGGGATTTGTTAAAAACAAAAATGCATTATAACTTGGTCAAATTACTTTCACATTAAGGAAAAAACCTTCTAAAAAGGAAAACAAGAAAAGCAAGTCTTCAGTTTCACATAATTAAAAGAACAGGAGAAAGCACGCAAGCTACATATAGCTAAATTTACGAAACCAACCAAAGCCAGGGGGATTTCTCTTCTGATTATGTGTCATAAAAAGGTCCACTGTCTTATATACACATGTATATAATGTTACATTCCATCACTGTAAAAAGTCCCCTTTGCCCCCTCCCCCAAAAAGTTTCAGTCTAGTCTCCAAACTTGGAAAGCGGCGCTCGCTCCTGCTGCCGGTGCAGTTCGTTCTCGGTCAGCAGCTGGAGGTTCTCGGCGCGCAGCCGGTCCAGCTCCAGCTCCAGCTCCCGCACACGCGCGTCGTCGCCGCCCAGCCGCTTGCTCTCCAGCCGCAGCCGGTTGTTCTCGTCCTCCATGCGCGAGAGGCACTTCTCCAGCTCCAGGTACTCCTTGATGAGCTCCTGCTTGCTCATGTTCTGCAGGCTCTCCGTGTGGTACCGCTCGTATGTCTCCGAGAAGTCCCGCTGCAGAAACTCGCTGCCGTCCCCTCCCATCCCATCGCTGCCCCCATCCTCCTCACCCCCTTCTTCCATGAAGTCGTCATCGCTGGTGTCGTCGGATTTGGCGGCGGCCCGCTTGGAGTACAGGCCGGTTTTGAGATCCGGCTCCTCCTGGTCGTGATCATCCATGAGGAACTGCGTGGTGTTATAGGGCGCGACCGGCTGGCCCTTGGCGAACATCTCGGCTCGGATCCTTGAAGCTCGCAGGCTCTGTTTCTCGTCGAACTTTTTCTTCTCCTCCCAGGTCAGCTTGTAGTATGGTTTCCAATGCCGCTTCTTCTTGGACGGGCGTCTCCTATGTTTTTTCTTGCCCAGCTGTCTCTGCTGCTGTCCCCACTCCTCTTCGCCCCCTGCGGCAGGAGCCCCCAACTTACTGGCCTCGGAGTCATGACAAGGCTGGGCGAGCAGCTCGGCCTCGGGCTTCGGTTCCCCTTCTGCCGGCGGCGGGAAGTCGCCGCCAGCGGACAAGTCGTCCCCATTCTGGCCCTTCTCGCCCTTTATCAGGCAGCTAGATTCTGGACAGGCCTGGGGCTGCAAGGGAGGTGGTTGGGACTCCAGGCTCCCTTCCCCCTCCGGCCCCGGACGGCCACCCAACTGGGGGAACGCTCTCGATTGCCACCTACTGTCCTCCTCGGGCACCCGCTCCTCCGCGCCTGGGGGGCGCTCAGGGTTCGGCTCTTCCTGGACAGCAGCAGCACCTGTACAGTTGCTAGTTTGAGGCTGGTGTTGATATTCTGACAAGAATGGCTCGGCCATGGCTAGTAGAGTCCTCGAAGTTTGAGAAATTTTGGCTACTAAGTCCTCAAGAAAAAAAAAAATGGAGTTTTTCTTAAAAAAAAAAAAAAAGAAAAGAAAAACAGTCCAACAGAGTCCTCTTCAGTTTGTAATTCCTGCAGTGACGCCTTTAGCTAGTCCTTCTATCAGCAAACTCCAACTGCAATCTGGGGAGCTCAAGTCAGTAAAGGGTTAAGCGTCCACAGTGCGGCCAGCTAGCGGTCCAAGGGGGTGCAGCGGCAGGAACAGTACGTAATGTGCGGAGGTGGGCCTCAAACCTCCAAGCGGAGCACCCCAATAAAGGAGTTGGTAAGCAAGGTGATGAGGGTAAGTCCAGTGGGTGAAACCCAGCCCCGAAGGGGTTAAAACTACCGATGACGCTGCCTCCGAGGGGCCAGATCCACAAAGGGTTAAATCCCCTGCCGCAGAGCCCACAAGGGGTTAAAGTCCCGGAGCCACCTCCTCCCACTTCCACGGGTGTCGCTTCCACCTAAGCTCCCAGTTCCCTAGGCCCGGCCGGAGCCTCAGCAGAGGACAGACAAACTCATCTCCCCTTTGGCTCGATGCTCTGCTCTGCTCAGTTCTCCTCCGCCTCCTCTTTTCCTCCCTCCCTCCTCCCGCTTCCCACAGCTCCTCTTCCGCCTCCTCCCCCGACTTTCCCTCCCAACCTGCCTCTCCACCTGCCAACTTCCAACTGCTGCCTCCCAGCCCTCTGCGCCCCTTTTATATAGAAGCTTGTTGGCCCCGCCCGTGCGCATGCGTAATGGAGTTCCCATTGCGGGGAGCCGGGAGTCGTAGTTCTTATCTTTCGGGCCCGCCGTCCTCGCGCGCCGTGCGACGTAGCCAATCCCAGAACGCGTAGGGGGCGTCTCCCTGGCCACCTCCTTCCATCGCTTAGCCCTCGCTAAAGAAACGCGAACGGCCATTGGTGAAAAATCACACGACTCACTGAGGAAGGACGGCCAATCGCAGAGCAGATGGGGCGGGTTCTGGACCGTACCATTCTGTTTCAGGAATACGAGAAGATTCGACGGCCTATGAGAGTCCACACAGAATATTTTTATGAAAAGGTGCGTTATAAAGGCTACTATCCTATTCTGTTCTCAGCGGAAGGGTTCCGAAGGTTATGAACCTTTATTAACTAACGCAAGAATGGTTTATTCCTAAAAAGTAGTCCCTAAAATGTATAAGAATTAAATCCTATAAAGAGAGATGTCGGCCCACGGCTGGTAACTCGCGATTCTTAAGATTACAGAAACGGCTTCAAGGCGGCTGGTGAGTGCCTGAGATTGACACTTGCGGAAGGATATCGCGAGCACATTTTGTAAAGAACGAAAAGCGCATGAAGAAGTAAACAAATGAAGAATAAAAAGTGCCGCCTTAAAGGGACAGTGTGACTGAGTTTAGCGCAGCAGGTTCGCACTAGGCCTCGGAAGACGAAAAGGCAGGTTCGAGTCCCGGTGACGCCGACTCCCGGACAGACTTCGGTACCCTTAGCTGAAGGTGGCGGAGTCCCAGCCCCAGCCTGGTCTCAGAAAGCCGCCCACGCCCCAGGGGCCAATGCAAACCGGTGATTCGCGGCCAAGCCTCTTCTTTGGGCCGAGATCGGAAAGCGTGGGGGCGGGGGAATGGAAGGGAAGCAGGGGGAAGGCCTCGCCCCCAGGCCTCAGCTTCTGTCGAAGAAAATGGCCTCCTGGGGCCGATTTGGTCTTTTCACTTTCGACCGAGATCATTTCCTGAGCCGGGACAGGGGAGGTTTGGGCCGGCCATGAGGCTGTTTGTTGGGAAAGGTTCGAAATGATTAATGAGTTGAAATCATCTGCCCTGGCTATCCGAGAGGGAAGCCGGTCTCACCTGCAGAGGCCCTTCCTCATAAGTGGGCGCTGGGCAAGACTGGGAGGGAAGCATGGTGGAGACCTTGCCCCGAAACTTGCGGCAGGGGATTCTGGCGCAGGCCTGGGGGGCCGATTCCCCCGGGGGCATAGTTTCTCAGAGAGAAATTCTCCAGACCCAAGCGCCCTGCCCTCCATAAACAGGGACTGAGAGGACCCAGAGAACCCTCCATACCAGTCACTGGGACCTAAAATCTTGGCGCCCTTTCCACTTCTTCCTCGCCACACACCCAGTGACCCTTTTTTCTTACTGCTTCCTTAATAGCATCCCTGGCATTCCAGCACGTTTGCACTGTGCACCTTTTACGCACAGAACCATGTGACCTCACCACAGCCTGGCGAGTTAGGCACGATAGGAATGACTGTCTCCATTTTACAGATAAGGCATCTCTAAGACACCCGGAAAATAAGTGACTTGTCCAAGGTCACATGACAACCATGGGGCAGTTCTGGCTACAGCGCGGGTCTTTGTGACCTCCCCATGCCATTTTTCTGTCACAAACACAAAACCCCGTTTTTTCTTAAAATCGGGGAAAACTCTGGATTTCGTTCTTTTCATTCCCAACAACTTCAACCTTATTCGGCCCCTATATCATTTGGCACCCAGGAGGGTACAAAGAGGGGTGGGATGCCATCCTTGCCTTCAAGTTGCTCATGGACTGTGGAGAGGCCATCAGACCACAGCCAGCCAAAATGGCAAGTGAGGGAAATCCCGGTGGGAGCCAATGAGCTGAGTGCGTGGGAGCTGGGAATTATGGACAAGTGTCAGGAGCAAGTGACTTCCTGGCTGGCTCTGAAGGATGAAGAACTTTCAGGCAAAGTGGCATGAAGAGGGGCATTTTAGTAAGACCAAGCATTATGTGCCAGGAAAGGGCTAGTCTGGGACCTCAGTGGCTCTGGGGCAGTATGAGATATGGGGGGGGGGATGCCAGTGATGATGGGCATGGCCAGTGTAGACGCCTCTAAGGGGAGCCGCAAGCACGCGGGCCTCTGGGCACAGCTGTATGTTCTGAAAATGAACACTTTCTTTTCTTTTTTTTTTTTTTTTTTTTTTTTTTTTTTTTTTGAGATGGAGTCTCGCTCTGTCGCCCAGGCTGGAGTGCAGTGGCCGAATCTCAGCTCACTGCAAGCTCCGACTCCCGGGTTCGCGCCATTCTCCTGCCTCAGCCTCCTGAGTAGCTGGGACTACAGGCGCCCGCCACCTCGCCCGGCTAGTTTTTTGTATTTTTTAGTAGAGACGGGGTTT